GGCTATTATTCAGGTCACGTGGAAATATTTGAAAGAACAAAGCAGGTAAATCAGTTCAGTATTTTCATAGGAAGTGGACATATTCACGATCAGTCATTAGCTAAGCCAGAGTTGATGGCATTGGCAGATTCTGCATCTTTTGCTATTCTGCAGGGCTTAAATAGCAGAATAACTCTTCTCTCCCTTTTTGCTTCCGTCTGTTCCTCATTTCCATTCTTGCTATTGTAATGCAAGTTCCACAAGAATAAGAATTATACAGTAGTGCAAGGGAATATTGCAATTATTGTTTAATAAGGGAATTCTAAGTTTAAAAGTCACAGGCTTTTGGATCATATGTCATTTTATCTTAACGTGATTATTTATCTTAATTTTTTTTCTGGAGTCAAGCTCCAAATGAAATCCGTTTAATGAAATTCAAGTTTTAGAAGAAATTTCCTGGTAAAACACTGTATACTGCAGTGTTCTTTTTCTTTCATTCCTATAATGAGTCCGTTACCTCCAGATTACTTTGCTGTGAAGTGTTATACATACAGCTATCACCCAGCATCTTCAGTTAATCTGAAGTGTGGCTGTGCAGTTTCTACTTAAGACCAACCAAATGGAACTAACAATGCCATTTCCAAATGATGCTATATGCGGGTAGTGTTTCTCAACATAATTCAAATGTCTAGCACTTATTTTTGAAGTCCTAAATAGCTTGGGACTTCAGCTGGGTACCTAAAGAAAAGCCTTCCTGCTTTAGGTACTCTTGACCCATCTCAAAAGTTCTTCTGCTCTTTGAAGTGAGGCAAAGTATGGGCTTTTTCTAAGAAGGCATGTGGACTGAGAATTGTCCTTTCCGAGGATCCTTGCCCAGCATTGCATTTATTAACAGACATCTTTTGGGGCCAGTGGGCACCTTGAGAATTTTGGAAGTCAGCATGGGGGGCATGGTCATTCTCAAACCATCCATTCAACCAGAAGCCTAATTGGTTACATTGCTCCTCCCGATCCTCTCTAGGACTCCAAGATGCTGTGTATCACCCCAAAATATTATTGGAAACGGAGATGATGCTAGAAATGGTCACTTTACTTGATAGCAAGCTAGCTTCTGGTTTGAAAAAAATAATAATAATAAAATCAGCAGGTGCGGAGTTTTGTGTGCACCAAAGGGGGTTTCCATGCGCATATCTGTGTCCATGGGTACCACACTGCATCACACGGAGGCCCTTTCATTAAAGCAGCCTCTCCCACTTGGTTTTGATCCAATGATATTTCTTAGTATGTTTCTTCTGGTTCTACCGCTCTGGTGTTTTGTGCTGCTTTGTAATATGCTTTTATTACCACTGGGAGCCATTTTGAGAATTTTATTAAACAAAAGGATGGAACAAATATTTTTGACTAAACAAAAGCTCTTGATTCTTTGGAAAAAGAATGGTGATTCTTCATCTCCTCCTCCCATCTCCATTTTTCTGTGCAATAAGGTAATCTGAGAGCTTTTTGAGAATGTATCGAGTGATCTCAGAAAAATATACTTAATATTTATTTTCATCTTCCATTTTCTGCCCTCTGCTTCCCAAAATCTCTTAATTCTATGAATATCTCTAGTAAGCCTTCCCTTCCATCTCTGGTTATTACTGACACACTTTCAAGAATAAGACATTTCATTTCTTTTGGGGAAAGGAGGAGCAATAATTAATGGCAGGAATGAGCCATCCAAGTTAAAGTGCATCAGTATTCAAGTCCCAATGGGGCATGGTTTTTCAGAATGGATGTTGAACTTTCAACATTCATCCATGTCACTACAATGATGTAATCTCCTGGATTTGCTACTAAAACACCCAAATGTTGAAATAATCCTTGCTTGTGAGTTAGTGCTGTATTGGGCCTTAACCATGAAACACTTTATTCCCACTAAAATAGCTTGAATTCCCTTCACATTATCTTATTTGAAGAATGGTGGAATTAATTATGGGTGCGGGAGCTTGACCCAAATGACTACCAAATTTCATTTCTTTATTACAAATGCTTTGGTCAAAGGGGAACTGAATTTAGGGGTAGTACAGATGCCAGTACTATCAACTGCATGTTGATAGTCTCAAGCCTATTAAACAGAACTGAATTTAAGATTGATTTTCACCCTGATATTGACCAATCCCTGTTCCTCTTCCAGCAAAATTACTCAGTAATGCTTTGATCTGCAGGTCAGAGCATAACTGCACAAGTGGAACTCTTGGATAGGAATGCTCAAATAAGATGGTCTAATGAGTTTGAGAGAGCTTGTCTCTAGTTTTTTAATCTCTAGGATGCAACAGACTTGTGCAAAACACTAATCCTTTCCCCAAAAATTCAGGATTATATAATGGGTAAATGATTGGCTAAAGATTCCGAATCCAAATTTAAATCTGAGACATGGTTTGGTTTTCATGCGTGAGCTGAAGCTAATGCCAGATTAAATGAAGGGTGGTTAGAGATAATAATGGATGTTGATCATGGGGAGTTATATTGCCTTTGAAAAAACAATGTAAGATTTTGTTGAAAGGAAAATACAGGAAGTGCAAATGGCAGAAGTTAGCACAAGCTATAAAAGGCGAAAGCTCTTCTGAATTTTGGTGTCTTGTGGTTCACTCTTCTCCTAAGGATGCCTCTGGATCAAGGAGGCAAATCTCACACCTGAGGTCTGGGCAGAGCACTTTGGGATTATATTTAGTGAAGCTGCCATTCAACTGAGCTCATTTGAATTATTTACCTGATTATTTATTTTCTCATTTCCAAGATACCTAAATTCATAGCATGACTGAAGAATGGCAAACCTATAGGGATAGGTGACTTGATTCCTAATTGGTGGGGTTTTGTTCTGGCTGTTTACCACTCTGTCAGTCACTCCTTTCAGATTCCAAGGGAGTGGTGTTGATCGGTAACTCTTCCAATTTTTAAGCAAGGAGGTAAGATGTTCAGCGAATTTCAGATCAATTAGCCATTTACTTATTAACCCATTCATTTATTTGACATGATTTATATCTTACCTGAATCCTAGCAGAATCTGAATAGGGTACAGTAACATCATCAACAACAACAACTCTACAATAGACAATTATAATAAATCAATCAAACGCTAAACAACTTAAGTGTGAATAAAAGTAATAATCTAAGCACTGAATGAGTGCTGGAATAGGACTGTTTAGTTGTTTGTAGATGCCAGCGGGGTTGGGGCCATAGGTACATCAAATCTGACTTGGTGTTGGATGATGTACCCCAGTTTTACACCATAAAGGGCTTTAAAGGTAATGAGCAAGTCCTTGAATTGGGCCAGAAACCAACAGGTACTCAATGCGACATCTTCAAAATAGGTGTTATTCTAGGCTGTTGAGGTTGTCAACTGTACCAGTTATAGCTTCCAGGTGATCACCAAAGGTACCCCCATACTGTATAGCATGCATTACAGTCGTTCAACCAAGTGGTGATCAGGGGGCAAATTACCATTACCAGGTCAACTTGGTTGAGATAAGGTCACAACTGGTGCACCTGCCATAGCTGGACAAATTTGCAAGATATTGCAAAGCATTTTCCAGGAACTTCACAGTTGGCGGATTTAACACAATGTCCTGACAGTGGAGCAAGAGCCAGACAATCAGTGTTTGATCCATATATAATCCTATAGCATTTGGATGGAAAGTAATTTTTTTAATGCCACCTAGAGTCACATTGTTTGAATTGGGTGGCCATGTGAATGGTATAAATGAATTAAATGCATTCATTCATTCTTTCTGACACTCTCAAGATATTCTCTATGCCTCCCTTACTGACATTTTACCTAGGGAAAGGCTTTGAGCAAAATTATCATCCTCCACCATAAATCACTTTTTACTTTAATTATTATGTTACATGAAAATACCTTCATGCAGGTTAGGTGTTCCACCACCATAGGCTTGTCTGATCAACTCAAAAAGAAGTTAAACAAGATTGCATACTTGTTCTGCTTTTTTCTGTATTAATTCCATTACTCAAACCTTTTAAAAAAAACAAGCTTTACCCTCTGCTGTTGGCAAAGAAACCTATATCCATCCTGTCACATGCTGACAATGCAGTTATTTTATCTTTTGACTCAAGTTAGCTTAAGGCGTTGTCTGCCAAACTAGCAGTTTATTGCAGCAATAAAAAAAACTAGATATTATCCCAAATTTAAGTAGTTCTGTTTACTAAGAGGTACACTAATTGCAATCATAACCAGAAGATGAACCATACCTGTATTGAGCGGGTTAAAGATTCTAAATGTCTTCGAGTCATCTTCCAATAATCTACAGCATCAAAGAAACAATCGAAAGCTATCACTGCCGAAGCTTCTAAGACTTCGAATGCTATAATCCGATTTGTTAGCTGCAGAGGCAATAATTTTGTACCTGCCACCATTGAATTATTGAAAGCCAAGGTACTGAGTTTTCTGCTCTGTGGCACACCATGTTGTGTATATATAAGGAAAAAGAGCTTTAGAAACAATAAAAACTAAATATATTACAGCAATCCCACATATCCCCTGATGTGTACCATACACTCTTTTGCTTCTGGAATCTGGTCTTTGCTCTGTTGAGGCTCGTATGAGAAATTGCCAACTGAAACACTGACTAAAAGTAAGTTACTTGGGGGGGATCTTGGGCCACCTTAATTTTTGCTAATAGGTTTGCTTCTTCTGGAAAGAAGGCATTGTACTGTGACCTCGTAGCCCCACTTCTTCCTTCTTCTTCCTTCTTTTCTTGCTTTTCCTTATTGTTGGCTTGGGCTAGTCATTAATAAATAAGTAGTGATGTTGTCATGTAACAGTTTCTCCCCCCCCAAAATAATTATTAAAATGATAGGGACCACACAGGAGTATTTTATGAGTAAAAATCTGCCTTAATTCTATTTTTTCCTCATTTCAGGAAGTTTATGGCTTTTATTTTGGGTGCCAATGAGGCAGACCTCTTCCAGTGATGCCTCACTCACAGCAGTAATCACTTTTAGCATTTCTGGGTCTTTCTTTCTAGGTACTGAAGCATCTGCGACACTTGAACTTCACTAATAATATGGGGGAGCAAGTGGATTTTGATGAGTCGGGAGGCCTAATAGGAAATTATTCAATTATCAATTGGCACCTGTCCCCAGAAGATGGCTCCATTGTATTTGAGGAGGTTGGACACTATAATGTTTATGCCAAGAAAGGAGAAAGGTTATTTATCAATGAAAATAAAATCCTGTGGAGTGGATTTTCCAAAGAGGTAAGACACACCCAGAATCTTAACTGGTATTTCTCAGATATTCCATGGGGATCCACAATATCTTTCTTCTCCTCTGGAGCAGACAGCTTCCTTTTCTTTTCTTTCTTAGTGAAGCAAGAACACAGCGATGGGATTGAGCAAGTTGTTGATATATATTTTTTAAAATATATAACATTAAAAATGCTTTCGTTTGATACCTGTTGTCAAGGGATGCTGTTTTATGGTGGAGAAACAACAGGCAACGTGGATACATATAGCAGCTATTCTCAACAGCCTGTCTGATGCTTAATCCTGGTGCAAACACAGCCTGGCCCCACTTTGAAAGAAGTCTCAGTGCTTCTTTGCATCGTGAACGTCTCTCCTTACCTCTGCTGAATTTGTTGGGTATTTGCTTTTTAAAGTTAATCTCATGAAAACAAAAATGGCTGATTCAAATGTTTTTATAATTCAGAACCGCCTATTCTAGTTCAGGTATGCCATCCGTGGCCAGTGGGATTAGGACAACCACCTCAATCCTACTGTTCTGGACACTGCCTGATTTTTGCATTCTGAAATCCTTCCCATTGCTCTGGGCCCTCCAAGTCCAGCTCCTTTCCACTGATCTTTTCCATGGGGTGGAAGGACAGCTGTCAAGTCTTTTTGCTTTTCTATGGCCCCTTGTACAACAGCCATCCTCAATCTGCTGATATCAAACCTAGTATTTAGCTCAGAATTTAAATGGAGAAGTAATTTTGTGTCCTTTCTGGCTGTTTGTCTCCTTGATCTTTTTTCTGCCACTTGTATCTGAAGGAGAAGCTTTTTTCTAGCATTGCTCAGTCAGAATGGTTGACCTTAGAAAGCCAGTTCAAAAGTCAGCAGATCTTCCTTTTGGCTCCATCTTGTGGCTGTTTAGACAGTCCCAAATCTGATCTTGCTCGCATACATCAATTGCAAGCCTGGGATTACCGGATAGCACACCATAGAGTTCATAGCTTCCCCAACCAGATGCCCTTCCTGTGCTGGACTTTGTCATTCCCAGCCAGCAGTAATTAGTTGCCAGTGTTAAACATTGACAGTGGGCCCAGGCACCATTATGCTAAGTTCACATTTGTAGAAAAAATGTCTCGTATCAAAAGCATGGTTCACACATTTACCAGATGGTGGTCCTTGTCACCTGGTGGAGAACTAGACACACGCATCCCTCCCTTTTTTAGGCAGTGACCAGGAGACCCCTAGCTCTGATTTCCACTTCTGAGAAGGATGTGCATCCCCTCCCATTTAGTGAGGAGGAAAACTGGGCCCACTCTGGTGCGCTATCCGGGTTACCACCAGTGCCAGCATAATTCCTCCTCACATCCATGCTCCAGAAGAAGCGGGCAAGTGACAGCAGCAACTACACCTCCTTGGTGCCACTGCAGCTATTCACTAACTTGCCCAAGCAAGCAAGGGATAAGGTAGGCAGAGGTGCTGCCCACCTGCCTTCTGTCTCAATGCTGTGATGGAGACTACTTCTCCTAGTCTCCATCACAGCATCCTTGCTTCTTTGGATCACTGAGAGATCAAGCAAAGGGCAGCATCTTTGGTTCTCATCTATCCCTTTTTTTGTGTAGAAGAGAAGAAAAGACCACCATTATCCAGGCTTTGGCAACTAGCTCTAGGGAGATCTGGAATCAGCTTTCTTCTTCCCTGTGAGCATGGCTTTCCAGTGGATCTCCACCCAACTAGTCTCCGTTCACACATGCTTCATGGGGATGGGGCCGGGGGCACGTGGGGGGGAAGAGTTGCTCCACCACCATTGCAGGAGCATCACCCTAGATATTAATGGAGCCTGTGTTTATTTCTCAAGGTACCATTCTCAAATTGCAGCAGAGACTGCCTTCCGGGTACAAGGAAAGGTATCATCGAGGGAGAGCCAACATGCTGCTTTGAATGTGTAGAATGCACAGATGGAGAGATCAGTGACGAGACAGGTATGATCTGACACTGAGAAAACAAGTGGCCCCTTTTTCTGTGAGAAACATTTTTCCAGATGGACTCAGAAATCATACGTGGAAGTCACTACTGATAAGGAGACACAGTTACTACGTGTTAATAAATTGCTGATCACTTCCACTGCTCCATCCCATTAGTGTTTTAGAGATTAGCAGTGTAGTATGTCACAGAAGAGAATGCAATTGGAAGAACTGGGGCCTCCTCAAGGTAAGTTTATGAATTAATGCATTATACAAAAAGAAAAGAGGAGAAAAAAGCTCTTTTTCTTTAAAAAAAAAAGTGTGGTGAATCTTTAATACACCACAGCTCTTGGTTTATTTTCTTTTTTATAGGCTGTGCCTATACTTTTTTATACTGCTCTATGTTGTCTATGTAAGCAAAGTCCTATCTAGAACAGTTCTCTGTTTTTAAGGATCTGTGCCTCCAGAGTCCAGGTAGAAACTTACATGATGGAATGTTTCTTAATGGAAAGTTGATTCACACAGATGGAAAACTAGCATGTCAGGAAGAATTCTTTTTAAGACCCTAGTTTGTAATGTGGAGCAGGGATTTTTTTCAGTAGACACAGATTACTCCTTCAGATAGTAACAGTGCAGGTTTAGGAGAACAGCGACAGCACAGAAATGTGCTCAAAATGATTAATTGATCTTTGGGTTTTAAAGTTAGCTCTGTAATCTGTACATGATTTAGTATATAATTCCTGTGGGCTGCACTGTACATTAAAGAATCATGAGGTAAGCTCTGAGGAAAGCTAATGAACTCCATTAAGTTGGAGGAGACATTAGCCACAACTGACTCTTTTCCTCCCACTTCTTCTGCTACAACACAATCCCTAAGAAAACCTCCATTGGTGCCCGATTCTTTCTTTTCTGAAGGAGGTTGGAACATCATCTGCTTTTTTTTTTTTTTGGTAAATGAACCAAATAAAGGATTAAAGGATGTACAGTCCATAGTTTTGTATACAACCTCCTAAGAGTTCCTCCTCTGCAAAAGACATGGGAAATAACAAGTCTGTGCGATAATAGGGCCATGGTCTTTTGGCACTATTGTACGTGGATGACCTTTGTGCCTCTTGAAGGAGATGCCACTAAGTGCAGTTCCTGTTCAGATATCTTCTTTGAACCAAGAATGTTTTGTCTTTTCCAGATGCCAGTGCTTGTGAGAAGTGCGCTGAAAACTTCTGGTCCAATGAAAACCATACATTCTGCATTCCCAAGCAAATAGAATTTTTGTCCTGGACAGAACCATTCGGAATTGCTCTCACTCTTTTTGCTGTACTAGGCATCTTCCTAACCTCATTTGTCCTGGGTGTATTTACCAGATTTCGCAACACCCCCATCGTCAAGGCCACAAACCGTGAGCTCTCTTATCTCCTCCTGTTCTCCTTGCTCTGTTGCTTCTCTAGTTCCCTTTTCTTCATTGGTGAGCCCCAAGATTGGAATTGCCGCTTACGACAACCAGCCTTCGGTATCAGCTTTGTACTGTGCATCTCCTGCATTCTGGTGAAGACCAACCGTGTTCTTCTGGTTTTTGAGGCTAAGATACCAACAAGCCTCCATCGCAAGTGGTGGGGACTTAACCTCCAGTTCCTCCTGGTCTTCTTATGCACTTTTGTGCAAATTGTCATCTGTGTCATCTGGCTTTATACAGCTCCCCCTTCTAGCTTTCGTAATCATGAAATGGAGGATGAAATAATCTTTATCACTTGTAATGAGGGCTCCTTGATGGCACTGGGCTTCCTAATTGGTTACACTTGCCTGCTGGCTGCTATCTGCTTCTTCTTTGCTTTCAAATCCCGCAAGCTACCAGAGAACTTCAATGAAGCCAAATTTATCACCTTCAGTATGTTGATTTTCTTCATTGTTTGGATCTCTTTTATACCAGCCTATGCCAGCACCTATGGCAAATTTGTCTCAGCAGTGGAGGTGATTGCCATTCTGGCAGCCAGCTTTGGGCTTTTAACATGCATCTTCTTCAACAAGGTCTACATCATCCTCTTCAAGCCGTCACGCAACACCATTGAAGAAGTACGCTGCAGCACGGCTGCTCACGCTTTCAAAGTGGCAGCCAGAGCTACTCTGCGACGAAGCAACGTGTCTCGCAAGAGGTCCAATAGTCTGGGAGGCTCTACAGGCTCTACCCCATCCTCATCCATTAGCAGCAAAAGCAACCATGAGGAACCCTTTTCAATACCAGCAGAACAACAGCAAAAACATGGGTGCAAGCAGAAGGTGAGTTTCGGTGGTGGAACTGTTACCTTGTCACTAAGCTTTGAGGAACACCAGAAAAATGCTGTAGCCAATAAAAATGCAAAGCACAGAAACTCCTTGGAAGCCCGAAATAGTGATGATAGTCTCATGCGGCACAAAGCGCTGCTTCCTCTTCATGGCAATGAATCACTAGAGCCCAATTTCCAGACACCCTCAAATCAAGAGTCCCGCATGCCAGAATCAGTAGTGGGAGAAACCAAGCAAGGAGAATATGTAGAAGGACAACCTTCTTTGTCAGCTGCATACCTGCGGGATTTAGTAGGCAGTGACTCCATCAAAGAAAATGCCATTCATTCATAATCAAAGAAAAAGGAACCAATTCTTGACCAATTTTCTCCTGGATGGAGAAAAACATTGAATACGTCTATAATTCTTGCTGTTAGAATCAGCAGGGTATATCCACTTTCAAAGGAAAGCTGAGAGAAACAATTCCTTAGCATGTCTTTAGCTATCCTTTTAGTGCAACCACCCATGGTTGTGGAAGATACAAGGAAGAAAACTTTGGAGGGACTAGAAGGTATCTTTCTCAGCTGTGTTATAGAAGAAAGGATTTTCTTATTCCCCTTTCCACCACTGTAGTGGTCCAAGCCACCAACCTGCTGGTTATGAGCGTGTCTGAGGCTCCAATAACATGCTCTGCTTTTACATCAATGTATATTATCCCTTTTCTTCCTGGTGTATAATAATTCCCCTTTATATGTAAAACTGCTTAGCAACTTTACAAGGTGAAACTTGCTGCTTTACATAAAATAAGACATGCAGTTTGCCTTAGAAAATATTCTCCAGTATCCATGGAAGCATGCTAAATAATGTTCAGGCAGTGGCCTGAACTTGTAAAGTATTTAAAATGATAGTGATATATTTACGCATGGAGGCAGGGCAGAGGTTTCATATCTAAGGAACAGAATACTGTGGTCTTCAAAAACATCACCATGTTATCCAGTGCTGTTGTCCTGGAGACTGACATAGAGGGTCCAGGTTTAACTCACTTTGAAGGCAGAGAAAGGGAAGAGGAGCCATATTTCTAGAGTAGCATTTCTCAACCTTGGCAACTTTAAGATGTGCGGACTTCAACTCCCAGAATTCCCCAGCCAATTGAAGTCCTCACATCTTAAAGTTGCCAAGGTTGAGAAACACCATCATAAAGGAAATACAAAAGCTCAGTGAAAATGTGCCCTTTATTTCCTGTAGGCCTCGGGTACTACCTTTACCGTAGCAGGCCTTTTGTGCATCAAAGAGCTTCAAATGGACGAGAGCAGATCTAAGAAATTGTGTGTCCCATAAAATAGAAAAAAAATCAGTAACAAGCCTAAACAAAAGTTTAGGAAATAAGAACACAGCACACGTCAGAGCAGCAAGGGTAACTGTTGAGATAACCAGGTTCTATTATGAACCTGATTATAGAACCAGATTCAATTATGAAACGCTATTAATAAAGTAAGTTAGTTAAATATAATGTAGCCGCATTTTCAAAGCATGTATCATTGGAATCATACTTCGATAGAAGAAAATGTGCAGATATTTTAATCTTGTTCTGTGACTTTAGAATTTTTTTAATGGGCAAGTAAATGGCAGGTATAGTTAAATGTTATGTTTTGCCACATGTGGAATGAATGTCAGAGCTTGGTCACTCTAATGTTAGCAACTGCTACCTTTTGCAATGTGTCTTACAGACAGAAGTTGCCACAGCTGAGCTCCTTGAGCACACAAAAAGGACTGAGAAAGAAGCCAGAAGTAATATTAAGTCTGACTGTAATGAATTCTGATTGAATCTTCTGCTGTACCTGTATTTACAGAGCATGAGAGAGGCCCCTGTTTTTCCAAAAGATCTACAGATTAACCACTTTGCATTCCCCCCCCCAGAGTGAGATCCATATAAATAAAGCAATGTTGTGTGTCCATTGACAAATGCAATGGAAAACTCAGTTTGAGTTGTGAGATCGTATTGAACAGATGACAGTGGCTGGGTTAGTACAATATGCTAAAGTAGGCATATACCAAGATCTGGGCTGCAGATATGCGGACCGCTGCTAGGTGGCAGCAAAGTGATTCAGAGAACTAACTTCTTTGCTGTTGTCTAGGGGCATCTGGATGTTTGAAGCCCAGGTGTGGTATGTCTATGCCAAGGCCAGACCAATCATATTATAGCTTAGCATGATGTGCAAATTCAGCCAATTGTACTATATTCAATTAACCATGGTGAATCAAATCATGGGTCAATGTAATATGCAGCCTTATTAGCCTCCTTATCATAGATTGCAGGCAGTTGCTAAAGAGAATCAATTGTTTGAGTGGAAATGTAGATACTTCTCTGTTTTTAGTGCCTTTTTATGGAGTATGCTCCAGTGCTTTGGAATTAACTATCCATTTATTCAGGGATGAATGGAAGGTAGTTTAGGATCTACTGAACTGTGGGTGATTTGTAGTAGATTGGCAGGATTTCTGGCTTTCATTCATTGAACAAGATTTCATTCATTGACAAGAATGACTGCTCCTTTCCAAAAATGAGGGAGCTAAAGTGAAACAACTTGGACTAACCATGAAAGGATTTTTTTTGCATAGAATATAGATGAGCTCTCAGCTCAGTTCTGGTACTCAAAAAAAATCTCTGTGCTCGCTCAGCAGCTGCTCAGATGTCCCATCTTTGTGTGTATATACATATGCACAAAAAGCAAAGAAGAAGAAAAATGTATTAACCAGTCGCAAAAATTAAAAGGAAATAGAAAAAACACAATGTCATTAATACCATGGCTTTGGTTGGGGAAGAGTGAGTTTCTCATAAAATAGAAAGAAACTACTAAACATGCAGTTGAATTTAAGTCACTAGTTAACTTACATCTGAGATAGTTGTGAGACAGAAAAGATCCATCATGAACTAATCTTTTAATATCTTTGTCCAAAGGTATTACCTGGGATGGGGATAAAAGACAGATATAATACATTTCTCTGTAATTATCACTTCAGTGACAAGAATTTTGTAGTGGAGTTTCACTAAGAATGCCAGTGAATAGAAGAAACTTATCATGGGCCTGATTAACTCCCCAACCTTATCATCCCACGTACCAAAAGCTGTTCTTAAGAGTCTTGAAATCCAGTCAGGTGGACTCCACAAATCTCATTTAATCCTGAATTGGCAGATTGTGAGGAAACAGAGAATACTAGATGATGGTTTTGGAATCTAGTAGCATTAACAAAAACCCCAAATACAACATGGCCTTCAGTATACTCCAGTACAGCTCTTCATTTTGATATTTGGTAGTTAAAACATACCTTGATTATTTCAAGTTTCAGTGCATTGTGAAAACATTAGCACTAAATAATTGATGTGAAATATAAGTAACACACTCTTTTCCCTTGAAATTAACAGAATGCTTGTAAATATAAGCCTAGATGATGCAGAACTTACACCTCATATTGAGGCTAAAGAAAGTCATAAGATTAAGCCTGTCTGTCCCAAATAGCCTAATACTTAACAAGAATTTAATATTTACCAGAGCACTAAGGATTTCATTATCAAGATTATTTTGTGCTGGAAGGGTCTTCAAAAGCCATATCCTTTCATCTGCTAGAAATCTCAGTGGATTTTCATTTCTAAGCTTGCTTAACTTATTTGCATTTCTGAACATCACTGATGCTCGTTTTTTTTCCAGACCCCCCCACCAAAAAAGTCTACATTTTCCAGACAAAAAATCTACATTCAGATTGAATGGCTTATCCAGGCCGAATGGCTCCTGTATGCTAGTCCTGAACACTAGGAAGCCTTTCATGTTAGTCAACAGTCATCTCTCCAGCATGCATTGTGAAGCTTCCTTTCCTGTAATTCCAAACAGCAAGTGTAGGGTTGCCCTGATTTGGTTCAAGATGAACAAAGGGGACAATAAGGCTGAAGACAGAAAAGCCAGTTCATGTGACTTTAAAATAGTAAAATATTCTTGTGGCTTTAAAGTTGATTGAATGAAAGCAGACTGGTACCATTTGGGCTTTCAACTAACTGCTCCATGCTTATTCATATTACTGTAGGTGAGTTGAGTTCCCTATTTACTTCATCAGATGCTAGACTCATACATATACATATATACACACACATAAGTACACATACCTGTTTGCTTTATGTATTATATGTTTCAGGTTTTCTCCAGGAACTCAAGATTGTATACATAGTATTCCCCTCTTCAATTCTACTGTCACAATCCTCCTGTGAGAAAAGCTAAGCTGAGAGAGAGAGATGGGGCCAAAGGTACTCCGTGAGGTTGATGACAGGACACTTGATCTTAGGGTCTCCCCGGTCCTGCTCCAGTGCTCTAAGTGCAGCATGACAATGGCCCTCATTTTGGATAGTTTGAACTGCCCCTTGATAGTTTGGGGCTTTCCATTAGGAAGATCACTGAGAAAACTACAGACTATAGCCCAAATGACACTTGTGACCTTTGTATGTTAGCAGGGCTCCATGTACCTCCTGTATTTCTTAATTACTTTCAGTATTTTTTAAAACTTTTTTAAAGTGCTTACATATAAACAAGAAGACTTGTTGAAATAGTGCTGGCCTCTAATGCTATCTTGGTTGCCAGACTCGAGGGCTGTAGAAGCAATTTACAACAAGCCATAGCTTCTATGTCTCATGAGTGGAGGCCATACATTTGCCACTGGGGAGAAAATGGGCTGAAAGCAGGTTTTCTTCCTCATCGTCTTCATGTTATATTTCTTTGTATATATGAAGTGGCTGGGGGAGGTCACCTACAGGAGGGTAGTTCTGAACCCTCCAAACGTGACTAGCTATTTAACATTCATCAATGTCTTTGTCTGTTTCTACTGATTCACACTGCTGATAGCATGATGTTTGTTAAACAGGAACTGAGTTCCATGTTCAACAACAACATCTGTCAACTAGTGTACTAAATGTTTTGTTTGCTTCCCTCACTTGCAGTTGGTACAAATATCTTGAGCAATAATTTCTGCCCACATGTTACTTTGCTGAACCTTCATAACAACACTAGTGGAATTAGTTACTAAGGACTAGCTAGACAAGACATTTTAAAAGGGATAAAAGTATGTTTAGTCAATTAAACTGCTTCTAACAACATTTATAAAAATGAAAAATAGTTTTCTTAGTTATTAAGAAATTTAAGAGTTTCTCTTTGATCATATCAAAGGTTTATCTAGGCCAACCATCCTGTTCCTCAGAGCTACCACACAAATGCTTCTAAGAAGCCCAAAAACTAAGCATGAAAACAAATCTACTGGATGTTGTTTGTCCCCTGGATATGCTGTCTGGTTCACATGTTCTAGAACAGTGTTTCTCAACCTTTGCAAACTTTTAAATTTTTGGGGTTTCACACCCCAAAATTCCCTCCCCCCCCAACGCGGTTGGGGGGATTGTGGGTTGTGTATC